AAGAAGAAGACAAAAGTGCCTGTTTCGAACAGGCACCATGTGTATAATGCGGGCCACTGTTATTATTGACGTTTTGAACTACGGTCGGACCTGCGGACGACTGTTTTTTTTGCCCATTCAAAATGTGGGTTGTGACCCACGAGCCGTTGCCCCTTTTTTTTTATAAACACACCCTCACCTGTGATAGTGGTGCTGATAAGAGCAGACACCACTACCACTCGGGGAGGGGCTCCATCTATTGGTGGGGAGTATCACCTGCTGGAAAACGGGTCCAGCGTCCCATGAACAGTTTGTCATCAGAGAATCTCAGAAAAGGCCAAATCGAAGACTCCTGCCAGCATTGAGTACCCTGAAATACAGGGGATTGACTGAGCAGGGCTTTTGAAAAAACAGGGAAAATAGCTAGCAAAAAATGCTGGCAAATTGCTGGAAAAAAAGCCTGCACCATCAGTAGTAGCAGAACGCTGTCCTGAATCTGTCTTGCTGGGAACAGCAACCCTTATGCAAGAGTGCCGTGTCTGGATGGTGCCTGCCAGTGTTGATTTCTCTGGAGCCCAACTACTTCTCTTCACCCTCTCCTTCAAACAACCTTGTTACAGGACAGGACACTGGAAGGAGCCACTGGGGGGCACCAGTGGAACCTTTTTTAAAGAATATGAGGCTCCATCTATTGGTGGGGAGCATCACCTGCTGGAAAAAGGGTCCACCGTCCCTTGTACAAGCTGAGATTTAGAACATCTGATACGTGTCTGTGGGGACTACCTGTCAGCATTGATTACCCTGGGATCCAGGGGATTGACTGAACAGGATATAAGAAAGGATATTAGATCAAGGGGGGAACCTCTTCACCCTGAAACCGGGGCCAGATACTCAACTGCAACATAGTTCCACCCCTATAACTATGCTGAGTCTTTGCTGGCTGGATGCCCTGCTAGCTGGAAATTGGGTCCAGCATCCTGTCATATGCCTGGGTGACAACAACTGTGGCAGCACCTATGCTGGAAACCGGGTCCAGCATCCCCTTGCTGAAAGTCCTCTACACTGAGGCTCCCAAAACCATTTGTACAGAATGGAGGAAAATTGATAAATGGTTGAGTGACCCTGAGTCTTTTTATCTGCAAGATGGTTACCCCGGGTAGACTGTGAGGACCCCGGCCTCAATCATTGCTTTTGGTAATATCAGCCTTGGGCACTGGGCCCTTACTTAAAAAAAAAAAAAAAAAA